TGTTATGACATGTTTAATACTTGAGCTGATCATCATCCGGCTGGGCCATTTTTTTTGGGGTATGGCTTAGCTTGAATAGTGATTTAAAAGTAATCCTATTCTTTTGATTCACTTGGCCTGATCCAGCCTGCATAGAGTTACAAGCGACCTGATGCAATTGGCTGTTTAGGCCTCGGCCATGTTATTTGTACTCTATATTATATGTTATGTTTTATTCTGTTTTGCATTTTAAAGCGTCAATTGTTCCTGTTGTTCAGGGTGCTGTGAAGGGTAGTAATGTTGCAAATACCTCATGTCGCGATGTTTGGACAGAGTATCATGATATGGGTGTTGGTGGAGTAAAAGCTGTTGCAGACTACAAAGCATATACAGCTGATGATGTCTTAGACTTGCTTCACTTTGTTGCTCCAAAGATGATGGCTAGGGGCGATGCTCAGTTTTCATATGGCATTGCTGATGATCTGAATGACCCAAAATACCAGCATTATAAATATTGGTCCAACCCCCTTGAAACCAAGTATATATTATTCTCAATCTACATCATCATTTATCAAATTTTCTTTTGTATTTCTGTTGAATTCATACTTGTTTGTTAACTTTCAGATTGCCAGATGCACCTGAAATGGAAATCTTTTCTCTCTATGGCGTTGGCATCCCAACAGAACGGGCATATGTATATAGAGTAACACCTTATGCAGACTGCAGTATTCCATTTCAGATAAATATCTCAGCAAACGTGGATGAAGAAGGTAGTTGTTTGAGAGACGGAGTGTTCCTAGTTGATGGAGATGAAACAGTTCCAGTCTTGAGTTCAGGTTATATGTGTGCTAAAGGCTGGAGAGGAAAAACCAAGTATAATCCTTCAGGAATTCAAACTTACATAAGAGAATATGATCATGCTCCTCCAGCCAACTTTTTAGAAGGCCGGGGGACTCAAAGTGGTGCCCATGTTGATATTATGGGGAACTTTGCGTTGATTGAAGATGTCATGAGGGTAGCTGCTGGACAAACGGGCAAAGATTTGGGGGGTGATCGTGTTTATTCTGATATCTTCAAGTGGGCGGAGAAGATCAACTTGAAGTTATAACAACTACTAAATTAACTATGCTTATTCTCAACACTTAATCTTTCAAATCACTGCTTTCTTGAGATGGAATTGCAAAAGAAATGATGAAAAAATTGTGAATTTCTCAAGTTTGATGAATTGATGCAGGTAATTCTTGCCCTTTAATGATGTCATTGGAAAAAGGCGAAGTATGATGAGAAATGGCCAAATGGGGCACCAAATTACATGAACGTATATATCTGCTTAGATCTGTTAATAGTTTGACGTTTTGCTTTTCAAATTGAATGAATGATAAATTTATCCAGTGACGTGAAATTTAATGTATCGATCTTATACTATATGCCATTGTAAAGTAATATTGGCAAAAATTAATTGATTTGCATGTATATAGAATCGCCAGATTTATAAGTTTCTGGTTTTGCTGTCACAGTTGCTCGATGTTAGGTGTTGTGTGTCTCTTTTACTAAGTACCAGAGTAGAACAAAATATTGGCAATCAAATGTCTGACTATTACAAAATATATTTCAAAATTCTCTTTATTACAAAGTAGTATAATAAATATAACACACACACACTCTCTTACTTAAACAGGCTTTTATAGTAGCTAATATTTTTGCAATCTATTCATCTGTTGCTTTCTTGGAGATTCACTTATCTGAGATCTTTCTTGAAACTGGTATACTCAATTTGTGCAAGCAGATGAAACTATGAAGTCTAAATTAAAAAAGGCCGGGATGATCATGGCTAATCGAGTAATCAGTATTGTATATTCACTCTCGACATTTTTTTCAATAATTTCTACTGTACCATAAGTGTTTCGAAGGATCTTACAATGGTAATATATTGTTTACGTCTTGAGGTAATTTTTATTTTGAGATTATCCCAAATGACATAGAAATGACTTTGATATCTAAAGTGTTTGGATATCCAAATCCATTAAATACTCAAGTTGTATTTTCCTACTCATCCACAAAGAAAATCAACATAGATATCATATGACTACTTAAGCAAGAAAAACAATGTCTCTATATTGTTATGTGAGTATGTCTTGACTCTTGAGCAATTCATTCAAATTCAAACCCTTTCTTTTTATTATTTTTACAATAATGTTAATAGATTATTAAGCGAACATTCCACATTTTGCTTCCTTTCCAATTCCAATATCCCAACACAATCCTAATAAATATAGGATTAAGGAGTATTAGTTCATTACCATAGAATAAAAGTTACATATTCAAGTAACATTAGACAAGATAATCTATTGGGTCAAATGTATTCTTTTTGAAATTTTCACACTGTTTGGAAGAACTCTAAATTTAGTTAAATTTGTATTGGTATGGTAAAATTAAATACTTAATACTACTCCATAATTGTTGGATAACGTTTTATAACATACAAGTATAAATAACCCATAATATTGTAAAATCTGTCATTTTATGTTAAGTTGAAAATTAATAGCAATATATTATTGCATTTCAAATAAGATAAGCTTAAACGTCACTTGTTTTGAATCAAAAGGAGCACAAAAACTTTATTAAAATTCATTTTATATACAGGTAGTAATTTGATCAAGGATGACAAAAGCAAAAAGTATCCAACTTTTGGATCAAGACAAGATCTTAATACAAGTAGGGAATAAAAGATGACTTGGGAGAAGATAAGCATGGAATGAAAACAAAGAGCAATACATAATCTAATACAACTTGATACTTTTAGTGACCAATTAGTGATATTAGTATTTTATATAGTACAAAATATAACAAGATTAAGAATTGATAATTATACTTCAACCAATTAATGCAAGGGACAAACACTTAATATAAAGATTAAAGAGTAAGTACCAACATTGGTGGGTAAAATAAAATGGTGATGTAAGAGGGCAACTAACGATAATGGTGTTTTCATTAAAATTTGATTAGAGAACTTATAAAATTTGTCATTTAGCACTATAAATAATTTATTTTATGTGACTTGGTCCCTTAAGTATTTTAATTATAATTTAAAAGCATCTTTTGTTAAATGACATCTTACTTTCATTTTTTGCCATGCCAAATACCTAGCTTATCGATCAAGAAAATCAACTTCCCAACAACCAATAAACATTATTTAGTGTATGATGGAGCTATAAATTTTTATTTTATGAGAGTTTGAACAATTAAATTTGGAATAGTTGTTCTCGTCAAATACAAAAAAAAAGGAATAACCATTGCATGATCGTCCTTATTAGAATTGGACATGACAGTTGACTAATTTTTAATTTTTGTTGAGTTTAAGATACTGTTATTGGCCAATAATAACCCTACCATAGCATTATACATACGAAGTATGTTATGTGTGCAATTATTGAGACAAAGGTGTGTTTGGTTGCAAAAATTTTGGACAAGAAGTCAACATATAGTAGCTTTTAAAGAGAGATTAGTTGTTTGATCATTTTAGTAAAAGTCCAACAATTTATATTATTAAATCGCAATTTGTCATCATAGATTATAATGTAAATTGCTATTTGTAATATTCATTGAATTGCTATCACGTTAAATGACATTTTTACTCTTACAGAGTTATTCTCTCTTTTCTATCTAGCGAAACCTCTAAACTACTTACCCACGTTGTCCACCCACCACCATGCCCTAGCCTTTTCTCCCTCCTCCACATCTCTTCCATCTCACAACTTGGTCTCCTCATCCAAACTAATGGTTAAAAAATGAGCAATGGTGGCAATGGGTATTTTATATTTCACTAAGGGCCTTTTTATTTCAAACAACATGAGTATAATTTAAAAATAAAATTTCATTCTCTTGCTATCCATCAAGAGCTATTTTTGTACTCCAATATGTTAAATTTTAAATTATTCGGAAAATGATACTTACAAAAAAAAATTATTTTTACTCTCACACGTATTCAAAATGTCTATCAATCATGATAATATTTATAGCCTCGTGAAAATTTTGTCCTCTACCACATTTAATATCAACCTCATTTTAACGAACACAATCCTATCATTATCACAACTAAGTCTATTGGTTGGAGTATGTGGCACGCAAGTACGAAGCAAAAAATTGATGCCCCCTATTGTTGGTCCTCCCATAACATCCTTTGAAAAAGTTCTTTAGTGTAATTTGTAACTGTTTAGGTAATAATTTGTGTCAAATTGTCAATGTCATCGTAGAGTCCTTAAAACCCATGAACTGATTAGTCTTGTCAATAACATCTGATTTGTATTTTCATTCCAACTCTCGTCACTACTTTGCCAAAAAAAAAAAAAAAAAAAAAGGAAAAAACACGAATCATACCTAGTCAAATGCATTGATATAATCAATTTGGGATTTGGCTAATACAAATATATTTGGGCAAGATCAAGTGAGATTTGGCGCATGGTTGTGATGCCATCAAACACTAAGAGGGCGGCTGACTACCCACTTTGGTACAAGTCAAGCACATCCCTTTCTTTGTCCACTCTCCTGTCTTTTGGTTTAACATAAACACAAACACTAGTATAACTCAATATTTTATTCAGAATTGTAAGTAATTTATTTAGAAATAATTCTATACAGATATACAGTTTTTGAGTATATCCTATAGTTTATATTTTGCCAATAAATTAATGTTTAGAAAAAGGAGACTATGGTGGGATGATAATGGTGAATTTCAGTATTTTATCCTTTTGAGGAGAGTTTATCTTTCTTGGCGCTTTGAAGGAGGCAAGAATCCGTCGCTTTTGGAGTTCCTTTGCCTATTATTGGCCCATTCTTTGCAGTAAAGCCCAAGATTCCCAGAAACAGATTTACTTAGAGAGAGAAAGAGTGAGAGAAAATTAGAGATATGCTCAAAAGCTAAAGGTTTTTTCTTCAACCCTCTTTTCCTCTTTTATTAATTCTCTTAATTTTATGGGTTTTGTACTATTTTTGTTTTCGATTTTTCTGGGTGTACTTTTATTGATTTATAATGTGATAAAAATATGATTTTGCTAATTTGGGTATGTATCTTAATTTGGGTTTTGAGGTTGGTAATCAAGTAATTAGTTTGCACCCAAAAAAAATCATGTATTTAGTGCTGGGTTGTTGTTAATCTTGTTATAGGATTATGTTAACCCATTGAAAGCCTCAGTTTCTGCTATAATTTTACTGTTTCTAGATTTAGTTTAGTTCTGTTAATGGTGTGTTTTGTTTTCTTTCCATTTCTGTTGATTAGAGATTTGACTTCTTGTGGTAATAAATACTTGAGTTGCTATTCTGGGTATCAAATTGCAGTCAAAATTGGATTTTGAAAGACTTGTTCTATGGGAAGTTTAGTTTGGAATTTGGCTTAAATCGTGTATATATTTCAGAGGTTTCCTGATAACCTAAGCATGAATATCTGGTGTGGCTTATGTAGTTTCACTAGACATGTCGTTGACCCTCTTTGGTTATTTATCATCATAGCTCCGAGTTGTCGGATCACGTCTTCAATTGGTTGGTATAGTTATTGTTGAACTCCATGTACATTTGCATTCACATTGATTGTATTTAATTTCGTTATTAATAAGCAATATTCATATGTCATTGATTAGTTTTCTTTTCTCTACTACTGTAATCTACTAGTCTTGTAGTGATTTATGGAAATGCGCATAAGTATTCCAATCTGTTTATTATCTATGTTAGGAATTAATAATGTAAAGGTTAAACGGCCAAATGATTTGGATGACGTAGGTCTTTGAGACTAGTTGGAAGAAGTTTAAGGATATTTGGTATGGCTGGGTCTCTTCTATATGGAGTGGATTTATTTTAACAAAGAGAATTTAAGGATCTTTCAAGTAATCTCTTTTATATCCAGCTTCTTTTACATTCCAAACCTTGTTTATCATGGAGAAAGTTTATCAAGTTGTGCACTATTCATTAAGTTGCTTATGGTTCCGGAGCACCGGAGAGGATGGGCAAGTGTGTAGATTTGAATTTTTTGATTTGAGAAAGCTTCAAACCTTCTCAAAAACTAACAGGGAGACCCCATGTGCAAATTGTGGGATTTCATCTTGGTCTAGGTATAGTAGTGCTGTATGGATGCAGAATTTAGTTTGGTTTTGCGTAAGTGTATTTTTGCATAAGTGTATTTTGTGGAAAATTTTATGGCTGGTGGTTCTTTAATTGCTTGAACTGTATGGTAACAGTAGGCATGTGTCAACACTGTCCATGATTATAATTTTCCGTCGGCTAGAACTGGACTCTAGGTGCTGCTTTATATTTATGTACTTGTAGAATGGTGGAGACGAGAAAGGGTATCAGCCTTTTAGTCATTTCAAATTGACCATAACATCACTCCTGCAAATTCAATTTAAGAGGAAATGAGAAAAAAGTGACAGAAGTAACACTGACAGTGCATGCGATAGTAAGTTAGCAACAATGGAAATTGAGATAGAGTAGATGCTGTTCTACTACTCATTACAAATTATCTGCCACTGGATGTTCTATTTCAAGTTACTACATGGGTGATCTCAGCCTGCGGGTCAGAGCAGTTGTTTTTGGGGGAGGGGAAGATCACCCATAAGATCATAATAGCTTGGGTGCTGAGTGAACATGAGGAACCTAGCTGTAGATTAACAGATCAGCTATCAGTTTCCATTTGAAATTACTTTGGCTAATCGTAGCCTGTGGGTCAGAACAGTTTTTATGAGTGTGTTGGGGGTTTGGCAATCTACACAGGATCATACTTTAAGTTGCAGGTAGACAGAGCATCTATCAGTTTGTGGTACCAATTGATTGCACCTTTGGCATAATTTTTATTTTCCTGATTTCTCAATTGTTCTAAGCTATCAAAAAGCCATAGTCTGGAGAACGTTCTCTTTTATTGACATACTGGAATATCTGTCACAGCTATCAACAAGAATATAGGTTCCAAGAAGGAAGCAGATTCAGGTGTTGCTAAATCAACTACTCATTTCGCCTTAGTTTCCAATTGTGGTGGCCATCCATTAAACTCATCCAGAATCTCCTAAATCCACTTTTCAAACTTGAAAATGGGAGTTCCTGCTCAACGCTATCAGGGTGCAAAGTTGTTAGATTTTTCATTTCAAGATCAGGATTCATGTTCAACTCAATCAACTGGTCAATCTTATACCAGCTCTGCTAGCTTTGGAGAGAATGACCTTCGTACTCAAAGCATGAGTTTTGCCCAATCAGGTAATAATTACTGCAACTGAATCCAATGCATGCTTAGATTGAGTTTGAGTGGCTTGCTCACTGATGTCCTTAACATTATGTCTCTGCTCAAGATATACTTGTTACGTGCCCTTATGGATTTGTGTACGTTAAATTGAAGTATGGTTGATAAGCTTGCTGTTGAGTAAATCTGATTATATCAATCAATCAATCAAAGCCTTAATCCCATAAGTGGGGTCGGCTACATGAACCAAAAGTGATTATTCCGTAGTCGTCCAGTAAATCTGATTATAATGAGTAGTAAAGTTTGATTTGGAAGGTTTTAAAGAAGGAATGAGAGAACATTTATTTTTTTCACTGTTGATTCTATCCATTAGTCTTAATTCCATCCTCTATAAACTTCAATTTTGTCACTATGAATACCTTTCCTTTTGCCATCTTTGCCTCTACCAACAAATCTGGACATCAATTTTTTCATTTCTTGTCCATATGACTTGCTTTTGATTAGATTATTTTTCGTGCCTGTACTTAAATCAAAGTTAAACCTTGGAGATTGCTCTAATCAAACAAGAAGATTGTTTTGGGAAAGAAGCAGAATTTGCTATTTAGGATTTTGGAGAGCTCCAATACAAACGAATTGGTTATGAACAGTGGGAGTATTTTATGGTGCTGCAGTTTTGCTTCGTAGGCTCATTGCTAATCAAGTGAAAATCAGACTGGTGAAGTTATATACATATGTATGAAGCATTGATAGCTACTGTAGTTGTATGGAATCTATTTTCCGCATTAATCTTCTTTTATGTTTGTTGAAGAATAGACCTCTCAAGTATCACCACATGTAAGTATCCCACATTGGTTGAAGAAGAGAGAGTTAATCACTTGATAAGGCTAAGGGGCTACTCCTCCTATTGCCATATGGTTTTGGGATGGAACCTCTTATGGACTTGTGAAGTGGGCTCTCTCTCTTGGTTTGCGGGTGCGGCCCAAACCCGTATTTAACATTGTTGATGATGTTGAGCCAAATTCTTTTTTTCCCAAGCAAGTCTTAAGCCGTGGTTGTATAAATGGTTAGTGAAGCCCTACTTCTGCTCAACATCGATAAAACTGAAATCAAGGAGACCACTTTATTTGTAACTATAGCCAAGTGAGCTTAATAATGAGCGAGATGTGCTTGTAAAATCATTTCATAGTATTAGCTTAGTGGTCACCAAATAACTGACACCTGAGCTCTTTACCTGTGCCTGTGAATGTGTGTAGGCAGTGTATCAATTATTAAACTAACAGGCTCACTGCTCATGCAGTCACCTTTGCGTTATCTATTAATGCTAGTTTTTGTACACCTCCATTTTGTTCAAGCACTAGTTGTACAGGATGGAGAAGAAAGCATCACTTCCAAATTGTTAGCCATTTGCTTGTTCAATGTTTTACCTTCTCGTGACTGTTCAATGTTCATAATATATTTCCCTTAATTCTAACTATGAAATCCACTTCCACTTCAATGTGTTTCTTTTTTTGCTTTCTCTTTGGTTCATATTCAATATGCTTGCTGCGGGTTGCATATTAAATACGTATTTCCCTCTTTATTAAGAAGCTATCTTTGTTTGATACGGGGTGTTTATTAAGAAATTGATTTGAACTTCCACAACTACCCTTCACTGTTAATTTTTACCTTACCACCATAACAATGTCGTATTTTCGTATACTCAATTAAAGTTATCATTTAGGGTAATTTTGGAATGTTCAAAGTTTAACTTACTGAATTTAAAACATTGGCCTATTATTTTGAGACAATGCAAAATATAGAGGTGGCCTATGGTTACCAATCTTACCATCATTATTTAATGAGAGATTTTGGATTCAAATAGTAGCTGGGATACTTATGTTTTCTTCTTCATCCAGGTTATAATACTCATGGGAAACATGAAAGCGGTGAGTATAAATTCAACTTCTCAATGGGAACTCAGGATTACACCTTACCCCCTCTGCAGACTGATTTTAACCAAGCCGTTGTAAGTGTATTATACGACTTGGTATCATCCAATTACCAACTGTGATCTATCTTAAAGATTCTTAGGGATCCATTTTTATTTATGATATTTTATATTTCATTTCAGCCTCAGTTTGCTGTCACTTTTCCTGATCAACACTACAATAGCGTAATGTCAACATATGCGCCTCAAGCTGTGGTAAGACCACTCTTTGTAGAGAATATCAGTCAACTTTATGGGAAAACTACTTTTAAAAACTATGTCAAGTGGTTCAAGAAACTAAATTCTTCACAGTCTTTAATCTCATCTATTGCTAAATTGCTGGTGATCTTAATTATTCTAGCATGAGTGCATGAATAATGCACTGGGATTTGTTGCCCATCTTCTGCCTCGCAAATGGTCTGATATAGGACTGATTGGGGCAATTATATGATGGCCTGGAGTGTATTTGGCTTAGCCGAAATACGATGACAAGTAAAGTAATTAGTGGTCCAAACCTGATATCTGTATTAGGATAGTGGATTGCATTATTGCCACTTGTTTACATCAGTATGTGTCTAATAGATTCTAGCTCTAGTTCAGTTGTGGTCCTTTCCAAACCATCTTGTCTAAGCTGAAGTCAGGTACGAATAATTTGTTGTCAATATTTTATATTTGGATATGTATTGTTAAAGTTGGCACTTAATTTCTTGTGGAATAATTGTGTTGTGCGACAGCGGAAGCAAAGGTCGTAAACAAACAAGAAAACAATAAAGAAATTCAATGCAAACAATAAGAACAACACCAAGAATTTACGTGGTTCACTATCGATGTGATAGCTACGTCCACGGGCACCGAGATCGAATGATTTCACTATAAACTGCAAAGATTACAAAGATGATTCTTGTATTTCTCAAGAACGGCTCTCACTCTGTCTCTCTTCTGACCCTAATACTGATATTAGGGAGGTTTTATATTAATCCCTAAAATAAAAGATACTTGGGCAAAAAGATAACATAAAAGATAACTTTAAATCGTAAAATCCGCGTCTCCGCATTTTTCCTTCTCCGCCCGGTCAGACCGGGCAAGGTCTGCCCGATCGGGCGCGAGAAGAAAACTCCATACGAATGCTTCAACGTATCCAACCCCCACCGCCCGGTCAGACCGGGCAAGGTCTGCCCGATCGGGCGAAGGCTCGCCCGGTCGGGCGAAGGCTCGCCCGGTCGGGCGCGAGAGCAGCTTCTTCAACGAATTTGCCAGGCACCTCTTCTTCTTCCGCCCGGTCAGACCGGGCAATGTCCGCCCGATCGGGCGGACAAAGCTACGAAGTACGAGTCACCTAATATACTTATCAACAATCTCCACCTTGACGAGAACTCGTAGTCAGCAAACGACCCCATCAAGACATAGTGAAAAAACATCTCAAGCCAAACCCGATGCAAGACTCATGCATAAGCCATACATCCCGATAAGTCTTCAACCAAGACCTATCACATACTCGTCTCCAAGTATAACAACTCATAATGCTCCACCTGCATCACAAGCCCCGGGCAAGCTCCACCTTAAGGCCAACACACCTACACCAGGAGCTCCCCAACTTCGCCCCTCAGGGCCTACTACATCACGTAGTAATCAATATTTAGCAAGTCTAAGCAATGTTTAAACTTGCTAAACGGAACAGGCTTAGTGAAGAAATCAGCCGGGTTGTCAGCAGTCCCAATCTTCTTCACCTTAATCCTCTTGTCAGTACGCAAGAAATGATACCTGACATCAATGTGCTTCGTCCGATCATGGTGTACTTGATCTTTAGCTAAGCAAATCGCACTTAGACTATCACAATACACTGTAGCAAAATCCTGTGCAATACCCAGTTCACCTACTAGGCCTTTGAGCCAAATAGACTCCTTAGCTGCAGAAGTTAGAGCCATATACTCAGCTTCAGTAGTTGACAACGTAACTGATGACTGCAATGTAGACTTCCAACTAACCACAGAACCACCCAAAGTGAACACATAACCAGTCACAGACCTCCTGGTATCCACATCAGCTGCATAATCAGAATCACTGTACCCAGTGACCAAGCATTCCTTATCATTCCCGTACACAAGACCAATATCAGCTGTCCCTCTCAGGTAGCGAAAAATCCTTTTCACCCCTTGCCAGTGTTCCCTCCCAGGTCGAGCCATAAACCTGCTTACAACACTAACAGCATGCGCAATATCCGGCCTAGTACAGACCATAGCATACATCAAACAACCAACCGCGTTTGCATATGGAACTCTAGACATATAAGACAACTCCTCCTCTGATTGAGGTGACATAGACAAAGACAACTTACAACTAACAGTAGTTGGCGTACTTATAGGCTTCGATTTTTCCATCCCAAAACGAGACAAAATCTTTTCAATGTAGCTTTTCTGAGTCAAGAAAAGCTTACCTCTAGCCCGATCCCTGTAGATCTCCATACCCAAAATCTTCCTAGCTGCACCCAAGTCTTTCATGTCAAACTCCGAGTTAAGCATCTCCTTTAATCTAGCAATATCAGATTTATTCTTTGTGGCAACCAACATGTCATCAACATATAACAAAAGATAAATCATGGAACCATTATCCAGCTTACTATGATACACACAGCAATCATATGAATTCCTGTCAAAACCTTGTGAAACCATAAAAGAATCAAACCTTTTGTACCACTGTCGGGGGGATTGCTTAAGTCCATACAATGACTTTAGCAATCTGCAGGCATAGTGTTCCTTTCCAGGAGCTTCGAATCCTTCGGGCTGCTTCATCAGAATCTCCTCCTCCAAATCGCCATGAAGGAAGGCCGTTTTAACATCCAACTGCTCCAGCTCAAGATCAAAATGTGCTACAATTGACAATAACACACGGATAGAAGTATGTCGAACCACAGGTGAGAATATCTCAACAAAGTCAACCCCTTCTACCTGACTGAACCCCTTAGCAACTAGCCTAGCCTTAAAACGTATTTGCTCAGTTTCCGACAACCCTTCTTTCTTCTTGTAAATCCATTTACAACCCACAAGCTTCCTCCCTTCCGGTACCTTTACCAGTTCCCACACTCTGTTCTTGTAAAGGGACTGCATCTCTTCACCCATTGCGGCAAGCCATTGCGCAGACTCACTACAACTAATTGCTTGTTTATATGTGGCAGGTTCAAATGACTCTACATCATCAGCTACACTCAATGCATAACCTGTCATCGCATCAACACAGCAATTTCTTCCCTCCATCTCTTCAATCAATCTAACAGGCTTCTTGATAACTCGTTTAGGCATCTCAAGAATGGTGTCAGGTTGACTAGATGACCCCTGATTAGATTGCTCCACCTCATCCCCAGAGTTAGAATGAGTAGGAGTAATCTCAGGTTCAGGAGTACCCGGCACTGGAACATCAGCATCATCATCAATATATTGTACCCGAGGTAAATCAGCAATGGTAGACTGATGTACCTCAAGTACCCCATCTGTCTGTAATAAATTGTCTACTTCCCTTCTCAAATCTGAAATCTCTGCATTTTTAATTGAATACATGGTGTTTTCATCGAAAGTAACATCCCTACTAAGAATGACCCGACCCTCCGAAGGTGAAAAAATTCTAAACCCCTTCACACCATCCCCGTACCCAACAAAACACCCCTTCTTGGCTCGTGGATCCAGCTTACCCTCAATAACATGATAATAAGCAACACAACCAAAAATCTTCAAATTCGAAAAATTAGGCAACTTACCACTCCAGATCTCAAACGGAATTTTGGAATCAATTCCAGAATGAGGACCCCTATTAATGACATAACAAGCTGTTAACACAGCTTCACTCCAGTACCTCCTCCCAAGCCCTGCATTAGAGAGCATGCATCGAACTCTCTCTAGCAGTGTCTGATTAACCCGTTCTGCTACACCGTTCTGCTGTGGTGTCTTCCTGACAGTATGATGCCGACCTATACCCTCATCTGCACAGAACTGATTAAACTCGTCTTTGCAAAACTCTAGCCCATTGTCCGTTCGTAGCTTCTTGATCTTCCTTCCTTGTCGATTTTCCACCAAAGCTTTCCATTGCTTGAAAACTTTGAAGGCCTCATCCTTTGACTTAAGCAACCTAAGCCATGTGTATCGGGACTTGTCATCAACAAATGACACAAAATAGTGGTAACCTCCCATACCTTCAACTCTAGATGGACCCCAGCAATCTGAATGGATGTAATCGAGCACTGCATCAGTAATGTGAGCACCCTTGCTGAACTTTGACCTGTGTTTCTTACCAAACACACAATGCTCACAAAATTCAAGGTTGGCAACCTTGACCCCGGATAGAAGACCCCTCTTGGACAATAGCTGCATCCCCTTCTCCCCCATATGACCAAGCCTCATGTGCCAAATCTTAGTCATCTCCTGGTGAGATACAGATGCGCAAACCGCAGAACTAGGCAGTGTAACACCCTCAAAAACATAGAGGGTGTTCCTTTTGATACCCTTAAGTACCAACTCCGAACCTCTGAAAATACACAACTCCCCATCTGAAAACACACCATTGTACCCCAATTCATCCAGGGTACCCAATGAAATCAGATTCTTTCCTAAAGCAGGAACATGCCGTACATTAGTCAAAGTTAACCTCCGCCCATCAACGGTCCTCAACCTCATGGAACCAATACCTGTGACCTTACATGGAGCATTGTTACCGACTATAACCATACCCCCATTGCGAGGTTCATATGTATCAAACCAATCTCGACGTGGACACATATGGAACGAACACCCCGAATCTAGAACCCAGTTATCAGATAAATCATCAGACCTAGCAGAACTGACTAATGCTAAATCTTCCTCTGAATTATAGCTCTCATTCGGTTTCTCTTCAACTACAGCAGCCTGGGACTTGTTTTTCCTCACCGGACAATTATTCCTAAAGTGACCCGGTTCTTTACAGTAATAACATGTTTTAGTAGTAGTTTTACTAGATCCATCCTTGCCGTTTCCAGCACCCGACCCAGCATTGTTCCCCTTGTTAAACCCCTTATTCTTTTTAGACTTTCCGGACTTAACAAATAACCCACTACCATTATCCCCATTATCACTCGTAGCTTTCATTCTGAGTTCCCTAGTATGAAGTGCTGCCTTCACTTCTTCTAAGGTTATAGAATCCTTACCAACAACAAAAGACTCTACAAAATTCTCAAAGCTAGACGGTAGAGATACAAGTAAAATCAACGCAGCATCCTCATCATCAATTTTAACATCTAAATTACGTAAATCAAGCAAAATAGAGTTAAGTTTTTCTAGATGTTCCCGTAAGGAAGTACCTGACTGCATCCGGAGGCTAAACAACCGCTGTTTCAGTAATAATTTGTTGGTCAACGACTTAGTCATATACAATGACTCCAGCTTCAGCCACAATCCAGCCGCCGTTTCCTGATCAGCCACCTCCGTGATGATTTGATCATCAAGACTAAGTAATATGGTAGAGTGTGCCTTCTCTTCCATAACTTCTAACTGCGAGTCAGTCGGTCCGTCTCCTGACTCCGAAGTAGTACTCTTTGGAGCCAACGGACGCCATATCTGCTGTTGTTTTAACAGAGCCTTCATCTTAATTTGCCATAGCCCGAAACTATTTTTCCCGGTAAACTTCTCAATTCTTATTGTTGAATCTCCTGCCATTGTTATCTTCAAGAAACTCTCCAAGGATTGAACCTGAGCTCTTGATACCAATTGTTGTGCGACAGCGGAAGCAAAGGTCGTAAACAAACAAGAAAACAATAAAGAAATTCAATGCAAACAATAAGAACAACACCAAGAATTTACGTGGTTCACTATCGATGTGATAGCTACGTCCACGGGCACCGAGATCGAATGATTTCACTATAAACTGCAAAGATTACAAAGATGATTCTTGTATTTCTCAAGAACGGCTCTCACTCTGTCTCTCTTCCCCCTAATACTGATTTTAGGGAGGTTTTATATTAATCCCTAATTAAAAGATACTTGGGCAAAAAGATAATAAAATAAGATAACCTAAAACCGCAAAATCCGCGTTCCGTATTTTTCCTTCTCCGCCCGGTCAGACCGGGCAAGGTCTGCCCGATCGGGCGCGAGAAGAAAACTCCATACGAATGCTTCAACGTATCCAACCCCCACCGCCCGGTCAGACCGGGCAAGGTCTGCCCGATCGGGCGAAGGCTCGCCCGGTCGGGCGAAGGCTCGCCCGGTCGGGCGCGAGAGCAGCTTCTTCAACGAATTTGCCAGGCACCTCTTCTTCTTCCGCCCGGTCAGACCGGGCAATGTCCGCCCGATCGGGCGGACAAAGCTACGAAGTACGAGTCACCTAATATACTTATCAACAAATTGGTTGTAGTAGAAAATATTATAATCACTTGTTGCCTATTATAGTGGTGAAAGGCCTTGGAATAATTTCTGGATCTTTACAAAATTACTAAAAAACGTTAGATTGACAAATCTAATTGCGGTATAAAAATCTGAAAAAGTTGCTATAAGTTAGCAGTGATCCTAAGATGCGATTCGGCAAATATATGTACAGGTCTAGGTCTTTCGTTTTCAACCTTTTATTCCCATTCATTTTTTGAACCCCTCTTTTTTGGGATGGCAAACAGATCCTCTTGGGTTGGGTTTGTATTTGTGCTTAAAAATTATAATAGTGGGTTGAGTGTTCTTTAACCGGATCCAAGTCCATGTATTAATCGGGTTGAAAATGTCCATTCAAACTTCCTAAACATTATAGGGGTTACTAAAATTTGACCCATCTCCCATGTTTAAATATGTTGCATTATAATAGCACATTTTTTTGGTCAGGATTGGCCATAGGTCAAATCTGAATAGGATTTATTGACGTTTATCCTGATTCAAATTTTTTAAAATTGGATTCCGAATGTAATTTTCGTAATCAAATTCGAGTTTTTCCTTCAGATCGGGTTGTACTTGAATCAGATCCGGACTATAACACCAATTAAGATAACATATAGTACTAGTTCTAGGTTAGAATATGCTTACTCTAATTTAGTGATACAAACTTTATTATCCTATTGTGAAAATTTTAAACCTATTATATGCTTAGTTAGCAGTAATAGTTGGATTGGATTGGATCGGATTGAATTTTATGTAATATCTTCCAACATCTATTGGATTCTGTTTGGTTTTTCATATTCTTGGATTCAGATTGCATTTCTCTCTATGGATTGTGTCAGTAATCGGATGTTGCCATCCCCTTGTTTGGATTTCATATAATTTGCTACATACTTTGTATATAGATTTTCACATATAAATTTTAAAAGGTTTAAAATGTCATTAATGGTTTGAACAGTTTAAGAAGTCATTTTAGGCTGTAAATTTGAACCTTCAAGTATTTTATTAAATGGGTCGAAAATCTCAACCCAAACATGTCTTTTTTATGTTCTCTTCGGGGTGAGTTTGGTTTGGTATCTGAGCTGCTAACTTGTATTGGGTTAACTTCTGCCAAGTCCGAGTTGAATCTTTTGTGTCTAATTAACGATTATTGTTATTGTTATTGTTATTATTTTATTGAATAGTATACGAATGTCATTTTTGTTGGTATATATGCTTCTTTCTTTCCAATTTATTGATTGTCCTTTGCTGCAAGATTAATATAAGTGGCATGCATGGTGATCTACTTAGGTGCCCAAGGACATTTGTTCTGTACTATCACCTCTTTTTATATCATTAACTTTGCATCACTTTCCTTTAAAAAAAAAAAAAAAAAAAAAAAAAAAAAAAAAAAAAAAAAAAAAACCCTATTCTATCTTCATATTTTACCGGCTATGATTATTTAAAAAAAAAAAAAATGCTCGGTGTCATGTTTATATTAAAGTTATTATTAAAAATATAGAACTTTGGTGGCATTACTGTTAGTTGTTCACTATTTTTAGTAGGTGTGGAACACCCAAGTTGCTGAAAGATTTGATACTATGTTATCTAATTACTATCTTTAGTAGGCTAGAATTTCCAAGTTGCTCAAATATATGGTATTTTATTTCCTCGTGGTTTCCACGCTGTAGATTCTACGACTAATGATTTCTTAATTAATGCCCTAATTGGTCATCCAACCAGCATATTTATTTAAAGCACTGTGTTTAATGCTTCACCATAAAAGATCTTTCCTCTATCCTGTCATGAGGTGGTACTTACCAGTGAATCATTTTGGGTTACTCTCCTTTACCCAGATGGTGGGAATCATGCCTGCTCGAGTTCCTCTCCCTCTCGATTTTTCAGCAAGTGATCCCATCTATGTCAATGCGAAGCAGTATCATGGTATCTTAAGGAGGAGACAGCATCGTGCTAAGCTTGAGGCTCAGAACAAACTTGCCAAAAACCGAAAGGTACTGAACTTGCCTATATATACTGCAAAAACATGCTAGAACGAGGATATTTTATACGACATATTGACATGTAATATATAGGTCCTTTTGTGAACCCTCTTCTTGGTGATATTATCTCTCCAAGGGCTTTTAACTGCTTTAAACAATCCTGGGCCTCTCTGCTCTTAAACATGTTAGGATCATAGCCTTGCTGTACTGCTGCTCACTAGTATTGTACATACTACAACCCACCTTGGAGGCTTCATGCCGTGCAGTGCCTTGAACAGGCTCGTCTCAGGCTGTGGGAATTGATAATTACACATAGCACTCTATTCAAATAATTACCTCATCTAAAAGTTTTTGCTACCTCTTAATAATGTATTTTGTCAAATTTTGACTGAGCCTTTTGGTGCAACACTACTATTTTTTTTTATAATCTTGGTGCTAATTAATACTAATACAGTCTAATGATTTACTTGTGGTGTTAAGGGTGCCTTGCTACTGTCAAAAGCCTAATAGTCTGCTGATATTTGCAGCCATATCTTCATGAATCCCGACACCAACATGCATTGAAGCGGACCCGGGGATCTGGTGGGCGTTTTCTTAACATGAAAAAGCTCCAAGAATCCAACACTTCTGCTCAAAATACCAAGGACCATAATAAGGTTTCAGGCGCAATTTCACTACATTTGGCTGGAAAGGCTTCAGGAGCTGAAGTTCGCCAGCAAGAAAACCATAGAGAAGGCACCTCCACAACATCTTGTTCTGATGTCACTAGTACCTCTAACAGTGATGATATCTACCATCCACTGGAATTTAGGTTCTCTAACTACTCATCAGGCTATGGGGAAGCTGTGCTAGGTGGTGGTAGCGCGGAGAACTATATTTGAGGGGGTGAAAAACAGCATCCCGATCAACACTCTGGTTGAGAAATCACCCGGAAGAGATTTTGGTTGTTGATCATCATTCCTTAAAAGGGAAGTCATCCTTGGCTCAGTTACTTTCTGCTTTGTATTAAGTTTTTTTATAAGCTGTCTAATTTTCGAAGTGTAGAGATTTAGTTCTTTCTAATTACTTTCTGAATGATGTGACAAATAAACTTGGTTGGAAGAAAGCGGATTAGTGTGGTGATTTGTAATTATTGGATAACATTATTATCATTTGTGTAAAATTACACTTTGATTAATGTCAAGCTGCCTGTTGGACATAAAGCTGGCTCTCCTTTATTTTATTTCTATTGTGAGTATGTTGGTTCATAATTTCACTAATTTGGTCATTTATTTTCTTTTTAGGATTTTATCCTTAATACTCTGTTTTACACAATGTAAGTCACTGAAAATATTCAATTTTCATGGAGTATAAGGTATAACATCTTGTTTCTTAATTGTAACCTACTTACTTTTTTGTAAGCATTGTCACCCCTCCTAGTACCTAAGTTTATACGAATTAAGTAACACAAAATAAGCACTTTTTTTTTCCCCATTTTATCCAATTTACTTTTTAGTTACTAATTCTAGAAGTTATGTCAATTGACTTCGGATTAACATACAAAGATTGCGACACAGTATATACTAGCTCTAAGCTTAGAGCCAATCACTAAAATCCTAATTACAATTGGGATTAAAAAAAAATAAGATCAGAAAATAATTAACTAGTTTCCTAAAATTGCCAAAAATAAATAAATAGAAAACATATAAAGTTTCAAACTCAAGGATTATTAGCAAGACATTGAGTCACCGAGCGTAGCTTGTAAAAAAAGCCATTTTTTTCAATATGATCTTTATCTCTCACAAGTCAACTTTGTTTCAGGTTAGTAGGCAAAACCCCTTAGCAACAAAGGGCAATATATTTTTCATTAAATTTATACTCTATCGTTAATCATATCACGGAGTATTAAATAATTTCATGTATTTAACACATAGTATGGATGTGTATTATAGAAATAACAAATACTCGTAGTTGTATATGTTAATATATTATGGTATGAGTCCGGAGTTATAGTCTTATGGAAATCAATGGATATAAACTTAAAACTATCGTCCTTTGTACGAAGAAAATGACTATTCAAGTCTAAAGTGTGAAATGCTACTATCTTTGCCTGCTTGGGCCTTGGACCATGGACATAAAGTCCTAAGTAACTAGTGTCTAAGTTCGATTGTTTACACAAGTCAAAGGAATTATACCATAAATAACTGAACCAAATTTACATTTATTGAAGTTCCAACCATCACATCTCTATCGACTCTATGAATAGGAATATAGGATTCATAGGAAGGGTAAATCAGTTGCATTGGTTGCTTTTCATCTTTTTTTTTTTTTTTTTTTTTTTTTGGTGCAATCCTTTCCAGTATCAATGTATTTGGGATTAATTTTCGAAAAATGCTAGACATGGATTACATATAACGGTATAAGGAGTTAAAAATGGAAAAACAAATGAAACTATAATATATTTACATCAATTTACGCTTAATTTTATCATTTATTCCTAAATTAATGTCAAATTAGAAAATATATTAAAGGCTTAATTTTAGCCTAAAAGCTACATATATTTATATATCAACCCTTAATTTTTTAGTTAGAGTTTCACAATACTATTTTAAAGATAAATCTTTTGCCCATACCTTGTTCATAAGAGTTTTAAAAATTCTCTTTTTCATCCCTCTGTTAAAATGTGAGTAAAAAATAAGCCAAACAAGCAACCTAGTGTCTGAAGCCTAATTTATCTAACACGACCTCAAAAACTAAAAGTTATTCCCTACCAAATTAAAAAAAAATAAAAAAAAAATAAAAAAAAAACTTAAGATTGACAAAAATTATCCAAATTAGTAAAACTTGAAAAAAATTACCAAAAAAAGTGGTGAGTGACTAGTCTCGGACTCGTCGCCCACATATCCAATATAGTTAGCCCTCATTCTCAAACTCCCCCCATTTTTATTATTTTTATTACTCCCCCATTTTTTCTTTTTATATTATTTCAAATTTCTCTCTCCTTCTTCTTCAACCTCCTGACATTTCTCAATTTTCTCCATTTTTATTTCCCAGAAATTCTCTGTATTTTTTTTAATTTCTCTAAAAATTCTCTATAACAATGGATATTGGAGCGCAGTACAACCCCCGAACTGTTGAAGAAGTTTTTAGGGATTTTAAGGGTCGTCGTGCTGGTTTGATTAAGGCTCTCACTACTGGTTTGTCGTTTTTTCAAATTTTTTTTTTCTGGGTTTTTGGTTTCTGGTGTCCAATGTTGTGCGAAATTCCCGGGAAAAATTTACTGGGTTGAAATTTTTTTGAATTACGACTATTATTTTTTGAATTTACTATAATGGTATAAATTATGCTTTTTTTTTATTATTATTTTTTCTGATATTATTTCTGTTAATTCTTCCTTTTTGTTTTTATTTTCTGCCAGACGTTGAGGATTTCTACCAACAGTGTGACCCAGGTTAGGGTTTTTCTCTCTCTAAGTTATTTTATTTTATTTTAATATTTCTTTGAGGTTAGTGTGTTTGGGCTGAAATGAAAGTTGCGAATTTGATTTTGATGAACTCGTTTGGGTTTCATTGAATTGTTTTGCTTTGATGTGATTGATGATTGTCTGTTCATTTATGCATAATTGAGTTATTGTTAACTTTTCTTTGTACTATTTGCACTATTTTAATTGCTCTTTTTTTGAGTTTGTGCTTGTGTGCAATGGTTGATGTTGGAAATTTTTTGTAAATGTTCGCAAAAAAGAAGAAAAAAAATTGGGGAGGTAAATCAAAGAAACAGGGTAATTCTCTTGACTGTTTTGCGCGGGGTTTGAATCGTGTTATGAGTTTTTGATTTTGTGACTCTGGGAATATGGAATGTTTTTGTTTATACGAGTCCCGTGGTGTTTTTGGATACATGCAAAGCTATGAAATTGGGAAACTATTGTCGTGTATTCGTGTCTTTCGTTTTAGCGGTTGAATCGAAATACAGTTGCTGTGTCTTGTAGTATACAATATGAGTATGAGTTACGGAGTAATATTTGTAGATGTTGAGGTTAGTCTGGTGATAAATTGTACACTCCGTCACTCATATTGCTTCGTGAGTAGTTAATTATGCTCCAAAGGATTATTCTTCCGCTTGTTTACGAAAATGCCCCTGTAGAATCAGTGATTTTGTTTTCTATTTGGAGCTGTCAATGTTTGGTGTAGCTTGCCTGCATTTATTTTTTGTCACTTATCATCTAAACAATAGTTTGTGTGTCTGTACTAATGTGTGCACTCACGTTGGATACTTTCCGTAATTCTTGTGGTTTGTTATTAAGTGAGCGATTTTACTGGTTGCTTTGCTGTGCAATTTGATTGTATTATATTTTGTTCCCATGTCTTGTGCCATGGTGAATCAGATAAAAGACTTTGACTCAGTAGACTTAGCGGGTTTTAAAATTAAAACCGCTACATATGATTTTAGAAAAAGGGTTTGATGAGGTGTTTGTGTAAGTGAGTGCACTAAGCTTATTATCATTTTTGGATTGCAGTCTTTGTAAAACTATGTTGATATTTTTTGCTTATATATGCAACACTTTATTTTGAAGACTTACTGAAATAGTGAAATGAATGTCATTTACTGAAGGAGTATTGTTTTTGAGCTCTTTCACTAATGTACATGAGTATTGGGGTTCTTTGTTTTGGGAACCTCTCTTGTGAGTTTATTATGTTTTTTGAAAATTCATTGGTCAATTATGAAATCATATTAAGTTATGGAAATATGCATGGTGCATGATTCGTGCAACTATTTATTTATTCAGCTGTACTACATTTTAGGTTACTATCTATGGCAATTTTGCATACTCTAATAACCTCTCCGTGTTCTGAATTATACTAACCTGCTATAACATTTACTGGCTAGTTCACACTGTATTCTACGTGTGTTCCTTTACCATCCTTCTAAATTGAGTTACTATCTAAATTATTTATGCTGCTCTACAGAGAAAGAAAACCTCTGCTTGTACGGATTCCCCAGTGAGCAGTGGGAAGTCAATCTTCCTGCTGAGGAGGTACCTCCTGAGCTTCCTGAGCCTGCTTTGGGCATTAATTTTGCAAGGGATGGGATGCAGGAGAAGGATTGGCTAGCTTTGGTTGCTGTTCACAGTGATGCCTGGTTGCTTTCTGTTGCATTCTACTTTGGAGCTAGGTTTGGGTTTGATAAAGCTGAAAGGTATTACATATAACCCTTTTTCTATTTTGAATCTGAAATTGTGCAATCAGACACATCACCTCACCCCCCCCCCCCACCCCCACCTCCTCCCTCTCTTTTGGTATAATTACACTTAATTTAGACTTCTACGAAATTGTAGCATTTGCATGACCATGTGTAGTGCCTCGGTAAACATGTGTTGTGCATGACATTGACATGTTAGGTATAGAGTTTGTGGTATGGTCATTGCTTTTAGTATTTTGTAATATGAGTAGTTTATTGCTTGATATTGGAGCCATTAGTTGGTGTTGGTAGCTCTTCTTTTTTGTACCAGTACCCAGTGAACTCTGATGCTCTCATTTTTGTTCTTAAATTTTCTTGAAGGTAGTTCAGCTGAGTGGTATGTGGCTTTTTGGATATTAAATTGGAAGTGTGCAGTGATCGATGTATTGAGACACAAATAGTTACAAAATTGGTTTTTCTTGATAGATGGAGTACACATGCTGTTCAAAGTTTTGCTAGCTGTCTAATAGCAGCTATACGGGCTGGTTTTTCGTTTCCCTCGTCAAATTATGCTTTGTTGCTTTCAGATGTCTTGAGCATACTTACATCATGGAGTTTGCACTAATATTTTCATCTCAATGAAATGAGGAGGCCAATGAATTCCTTTCAACTATACTTAGAGGGAATGATGAGCTGTTACTAATATTTGGTTACTGCTATTGAAGCAATACAGTCCATTGGCAAATATGGCTATTTCATAATGTCATATACTTTCGTATATAGCATCAAGGAAGTAGCATCTATGGTTTTTCATTTGCTAGGTTCTTCATTTGATTAATTATCTTGCCAGTGTTTGTGTCTTTTTTTTTTCTTACTTGATGATGAAAGGGAATGTGGGGGTTGATCTTATTGCATTTTTGTATTTTGTTGAATATCAGTTGACTTGTGTGATGTAGGAAGCGGCTGTTTCATATGGTCAATGAACTCCCTACTATATTTGAGGTTGTGACCGGCTCTGCTAAGAAACAAGTGAAAGAGAGATCTTCGACTCCTAATCACAGCAACAACAAGCCAAAGTCAAACTCTAACTCCAAATCGGTAATGATCCTTTTATTTCTGTTTGTACGTTGATGTTTTCTTAATTGGGCACTCTTTCTTGCCCCGTGTGTTGGTAACTAGGCTAAGGTATGTCATTTAAATTACTGCAGACCACATAATGACATCTTTGTAGTTCTTCCTATCTGATTTGTTTTGCAATGAACTTGTGATAGTATTTGTTCAACGCTGCAAATATTACATATTAGTAGATACGGAGTCTGTGTAGTGGTATTGTTGGTGTGATTGATGGGTTGGTCGAATTGGATTTTATCTTTGGTATTGCAGTTTGCTGCTCCTTTTTATTTTTTCATACAACTGCATGAATTGAAACAAGGATTATGGGTGCTGAGTTGTCAGCCACATAAAATGATGGGTACTGGGTTGCTCTTTTTATTTATTTATTTATATATTTATTTTGTGAAAGCAGCCTGCAGTCATAGTTCATACAAATATATATGTTTGATGTATACGAGTAATAAGGTGGGTTCGTCTTTCTCTGTTTCCTGTTTGATGCATACTTGTGTATGGGGAATGACTAGATTCAATTAGGCAGCGGGATGTCTTTTCTTGGACACCAAACTTGCTTTATTTTTGTTGAAGGAGAGAACATTTTTCTTCTGATATATCAGCTTATTTATTTAATGTAGCAGCAGTTTCTTTTCTACTTCAAAGTATTTTATCTTTGCTAGTAATTTAAAAGGGAGCTTAAAATTCAAACCATGGATTGCAGGGCAACAAGTACTCAAAGGTTACTCCACAGAAGGTGGAGGAAGAGGAGGAAGGCTTAGAAGATGATCAGGATGAGGATGAGCATGGGGATACTCTATGCGGGGCATGTGCGGAAAGCTATGCATCAGATGAGTTCTGGATTTGCTGTGACATATGCGAAACGTGGTTCCACGGAAAGTGTGTGAAGATCACTCCCGCCAGAGCTGAGCACATCAAGCAATACAAATGCCCTTCTTGCAGTAACAAGAGAGCTCGACCGTGAATACATGAAACCCACATTGTTGCCTGACATGGGGTACCAAGTTAACCTTCGCTCCTGTCCATTAGTTATGTATGCTCTTATCGGCTACAACTTGTGCATGTCTCTAGAACTTCTCTTAGGATCTAGGATCTTTGGTAGTGGACCTGAAAACTTCTTAAGCCTGTAGATTATACCTCATTGAGGTCTATAAATTTTCTATTATTATAATTATTGTCTGCAAACATAATTAGTTCTAGAGTACTTAATATTGCAGACAGGTATGTAATTTTTCAAGTAGATTGCATCAACGTACTCGGATTTTTCAAAGAAAATGATGGAAATTATTGCGTTTGTGTTACTTTCAGATACAGCTTTTCTATATTGATGGCGATCCTCAGTTCTTATTTACATGATAGAAGGCACAATTTATCCCATATCACCTTCAACAATTTGTGAATTGAGTCGTATAACTATATGAAATGAAGAGAGTATATTTTAATAGAGAACATGGGCTGTCTCTTTATGTTAAGTAGGTCTGTAAATTTGGCGAATCTTTATCGTTAACTATTAAGGTTGGTGAAACAATTCTCGATATGAATACTTATTGGTAAGTGGGTCTGAATTTTTTTTATGAAAAGTTGACAATAAGAACAACTTTCCTGCATTTGCACGACCTGAAAAGAGATTAATCAATTAAGCTTTGACAATGGCCGTAGACTCTTTAGATCTAACTATTACTTTGGATTACTTGCAATCCTCTTGTGAATTTGAGAAATTAGGCCAGTTTCTCCTTAAGGAATTTTTTGGAACGGAGGGTGTACAATCTTACTAATTCAAATAAATTTTATTGACGGAAATCGTTTTAACAGATAAAAACTGGTTTTTGCTAATAAAATTTGGTTTCCATCATACTACATTACTACCATAATACTATGTAATTACTATTTTTTTTAATAAAAAAATGAGATATTGTTGGTCAAGGCTGATTCGTGATGATCAATACTGATTGAACTACAAATTAAAACTGAGTTTTCTCTTAAAAATATTTTTTATGTCAAAAGAATTTGATTATGGTTGTTATGCTTTCTCAACAGACATAATAGAGCTAAATTAGCTAAACAAGTTGACATAAGATAGTAATTTAATTAAAAAAAAAAGAGAGAAAATCAATTTGATTGTCTTTCCATAAGTGATCTTTAACAAATCAAATAAATCCAACATTTGTAGGTGATGTTGATAATAAAATTAATACTATACTATATTTTGTGAAAAAGTAGTTAATGTTTATTAAAACTTAAAAGCATTATCAATCAAGATCCCGTTGAATTTGTCAAAGTAGAGGAAACAAATTAAAAAAATTAATTACTTTAAAAATAGATACTCCTAGATGCAAGCAAACTTTATGTCGTCCACTGTCAAAATTAAAAAATTAATTTGATTATCCAATTTGAGATAAAGCAACACTATCTGATTATGAGTTATGAGTTTTAGGTCCCCAACTGCTCTTCTTCTTGCCTTTTAAGAATTCATATTTGGACTAGAAGCTTCTTGATTCTAATTATTCTATGAATTTGATAGATACTATTTTTCCAATCAAGGAAAACTTGACATATGAGTTATATGACTAGTAGTTTTCCATTTCAATCTCAATGGAACCAAAGATTCATACTCTCATGTGTTTGTTGGAAGAAGTATAGATGAATAGATGATATGATTGTGTTTAATTAGTGATGAAATAAGTTATTTTGGTGCACCTGGGAATCCGTGCACTAAAAATGACTGAAATTTAAAATTAATGTATTTGATTGTGTTACATTAACTAGGGCAATTAATATTGATAGACAAACCACTTGTTTTTGTCTCTCTTATACAAAACACATGACAACAACACTTGCTGACATTGTTTTTCTCGTAAATTACTGAGACTGTTGCATTATTTAAATTTAGTGCTTGACATCTTATGAAACGTCCGAGAATCTCGCGACCTAACTAATATTATTATCTGGTTGTTTTACGTCATTTTTAGCAAGATTTATCGCCATGTATTTCAGTTTTCTTGAGAAACTACTATTTATCTCGCAAAAAAATTTGAGTTTCTCGTGTCTTTCCCTAAAATTGTTTAATTGTTGATTTCATTTGCCATTTTGGAGTTGTCTATTATGGTTTTGCTGATTAATTTGTTTGTTTGAAAACCTTAATTTGAATATTGTACCTAGTTATGGAAATAAAACTTTGTTTATCTTGTGAACTTATACTAATGTCTACCATACATATTCATTGGTTGATTAGTTATTTCAACTGAGTAATTTATTGCTTTATAGTTTGTACGTCTTGAAACTTATTTCTTTGTAGAAATATAGCCCATCAAACTTGATCCGATAATAATTAGAGCAAAGGTATAGCAAGTTACTTGTGCTTGCCTTCCTTTACAACAACCGTGATCTAAAATTGTTTAGAATTCGTATACTTTTGGCACATGAAAGCAATGTGAGGGCCATTCTTGGCTTGAGATGTTATCATAACTTTGAAAGGATATTTACTTTGGAATACTTTGCAAGTTGTCCCCATCTTTCATTTTTCAAATCAAAAGTGACTAGGCATATTATCCCACTTTTCTTACTTTTGCCTTATCAATCTTAAGAAATTTATGTTCTTTGCATACATAAGGAATTTAGAGTGAAGAAATGAAAAAACCAAGTAATAATTCCAAAATATTTAATGGATGTTATAATATTAGCAACATTAATTGTCAAAAAAAAAAACACGTATTCATTTTTGTGAAGTCGAAAGGGATTACATTCATTAAAACCCTAATTCTCCTGTCAAGTTTAACAAAATAAGGGATCAAACAAGGAGATTTAGGGTTACAAAAGACACAGAAAAACTTGTTCTCTGCATATTACATTTTGATCTCTTACTCCTATTTTCCCCCTGTATAGAGTTATTGACCTAAAACTATGTCACACCCTCTTGGCTCTTGGCTGACAACCTCTTAAGAAACTCATAAGTAGTGATCATGGTGGTGGCCGACATCGACATGGAGGCGCACCGTGGCCCAAGCCCTCGATAGCACGCTGTCCACCCGCCTTCCCGGACCAAATTACGCACCGTTTGAGCCACCGTAGGGCCTCTACTACGCCCATTCTCCTCACTATCCAAGACTTGCAACCTAGTCTTGATTGTATCCAAAGGCATTGTGATCAAAGCGGACGCCCCACCAGCCAGTGCAGCACTCACACCTTGAACCACCATCACCGCCTTCGAATCCGGCCTATAAGTGGTTGTCACCTCATCACCACCACTAGGATCATCTCTCTTGCAAAAGTAGCACCCAATACCACCCCAAATGAGGCGTTGAGCAACCGAGTAAGACGCCCACCAAACCGCATTAGAAGGTGCATAAGTCAATATAGATATACCAAAACCTCTGTATAATCCTCTCAATCCATCTGATTTGATTATTTGCTTGAACCCATCAACCCCATTAGCATACCTCATCTTGCTAAGATTTCCTCTACTATTCTGCACCATTAATCTTTGGCTTACAACATCAACCGGTGTCCATACAAGCTGCGCCGCAATGGCGGCTGATACACCAGCTGCAGCATTGGCAATAGCAGCCGCTGTGGGCTCAGCAAAACCAAGACCAAGAGTAGTGGCACCTACACTACTCTTGGTCACCTCGAGGGCGGTCATATAGAGCGCCCTCGCGGGTATGGTTCCGGTTAGAGAGGTTCCGAACCCTCTATACAGGGCTCGGAACCCCTCGCTTCGCACGATACACATAGCAGTCGTAAGACTGCAGGATCGTTGCGAGTATCGGCCGACCTGCTGCCGGGTCTTCAGGACTACGGCAGGGTACAGGGCGGCCGAAACGCCGGAAAATAAACCAGCACCAAGGATGAAAAACTTGGATTTATCTAACATTTCCCAGTTTATATCTGCCGGAATGTGGATTTCTTCCTTGGATTCTTCTTCTGCTGTGCCTAAACTCATCTTTTCGATTCTTCCAATTTTGGAAACTTTACAAACTACCTAGAATTTCTAATTTTTTTGGGATTTTTTTTCTGTTTTTTTGAGAGGATTTATATACAAATCAACAAAATCAAACCCAGAAAGGTAATCGACAAAAAGTACCCACAAAACCTGAAAAAAAAATTGGTTATAATTACAGGGGTTTATAATTTATACAGGGGAATTTGTTAGATTAATCTAACTGACAAAAAAATTAATCAAATTTAACGGGAAGCTTGGGATTTTTTGCGTTTTCTAACCCAGATTTTAGAGCGAAATAATAGAACAGGGAAAAGATCTAGCATTATTTTCTTGTAAAAAAAAAAATAAAAGAAGGAATAAATACGTCTGTTTTTACTAAAATTTGAGATGAAAATTAAAGAAACCAATCTCCCAAAATAAGAATTTTTCCTAGAAAACAAATTTAACCCTTTTTTTTTTTTTTTTGATGTGATAAATATAACCCAGAAAAAAGGGTGAAAGAGAGAGAAAAAGAAAAGGGTGAGTTGTGAAGGGTAGAAAGTGTTGTATTGAGGAATGAGGAGAAAGGGGGGTTTAGGAGAATGAGTGAATAACTGACACGCGTCGGTTAGTGTTAGGGTTTTTGGCCTTGATTCTAGGTTTTGTCCAAGCACGAGCTGGCCACGTGGGCTGTGACTGTGACTCGGTTACCCTTATCCGGTTTCAGGAGCTTTGTTTTTTCTGTGTTTTCATAACTTGCATAAGGATTAAGGAATGCTCATATATTAGGTAACATGCTTTATTTTATTATTATTTTTATTTAATTGTGATATTAATCATTGAGTAGTGTTTTAGAAGAATGATATTTATCTGGTTTTATTGGTAAAGTGTTCGTATGTATATGTTTTTACGATATCTATTATCTACTGTAATTTATAGAGTACGACTTTTATTAAATCTGTTTTCACTTTTGTATATATGTTATGACAAGACACTATGATAATTCCAATTTAATTAAAAAAAAAAAACTCAATCAATATATATATATATATATATAATGATGAAAGACTCAATGTTTAAATCCAATAAATCTTATCACTATGAGATTGGTAAAATTAAGGTGTAAATTCAAATGTTGTCCAATTTCAATATCAAGTATTGGGCTTAAATGATCAATTTATTTTGTGTTTTTTTTTTTTTTATTAGAGAAGCACAATGCAATCCAATTTCTATCCCAAATATTGTAATGTAATTCCCCAAACAAAATCCAATATCCAAAATACAAATCAACTTATAACTTTGTCTCTTTAGGCCCAATGACTCAATGAGGCTTATCTTGGCCCAATGTGATGAAATTGATGAGCACTCACAAAACACGGCGTTATTTCATGACATGGCTCTAATCAATTAGCTAAGATAAATTAATGCGGGAGATTGGTAATTTAATTTAATTCAATGAGTTTGGTGAAAATTTAATAAAATTAGATAAAGCCCATGTGATGTACGGTTTATTTTTATTTTTCAAATAAAATATTTTACTAAATATATATTTATTTAATAAAATTTGTGATATTCGCCTACGTCACACCGTGTGGTTGGGATTACTTGTTCAGGAGTTACTTGGTTGATCAAGGATTACCCAATCGATTGGGGGTTATTCGGTTAGTGTTTAGATGTTTCTCATCCGGCCACACCAGCCACACAAAAAACGCGTTATTTTTATAATTAATATAAAATTTTTGATCAAAAATAAATTGCAATTCTTTTTTTTTTATTATTGTCTAAAATATAAAATTTTCCTATGTGACGCTCTAAAATTAATCTTACGTGGCATAATCCTATTACATGGTTTTAAAATTATTAATCCAACTAATTTTACGTGGCATAATCTGATTGTTACACTTTAAAAATATTAATTTTAAGTGACGCTCTAATAATTTTAAAAAAAAGTAAAATCTTAAGTGGCGCTTTAAAAACTCAAAATAGAACTCTCGTTTATATATATATATATATATATATTAGATTCTATGACTGCTCCAACTAAAACGGACACCTGTTGGTCCATTCTAGATTTACATTATAGTTGGCCTGTTGGTCTGACAAACGTGCCCACCTGATCAAACGGTATCTTTCTTGATTTTAGAAAAATCATCAAAGATTAATATGGATAATGTTAAATCAAATTTAAAGGCCCAATTCTTTATACCAAAGCCCATCATAAGCCCCAAATTGAAAATTTGTGAGAATTATGAAGGAATGTTTTCCATCTTTGTTTTGAGTTGGCAATTTCATTGGCATGTATCATATGTGTTGAAAGGGTTGGCCCAAGCTTCGCTTTTTAAAAAAAAAAAAACTAAAGCTTGACCCATTAAATGTTGACTCTCGTCATGTATAATACAATATTTTAAAAAATTGATTAATCTAGGCAATTAAGGTAAGGTAGCAACACCCAAATGTATAATAGGCCGACTAATCATTCGATCTATACAATAATTCCAAAATTAATAAAATTAGCTGCTAACTTAAAACTATCAGAAGCAATCAACAAACACTCGTATTATTTACCGATTGCTTCCTACCATTAATAAAAAGGCAGGCTTGTGAGACAATTACAAGATTTAATTTTACAACAAAAAAATAAAGATAAAAAATTGCAAGACTATGAATTGACTCATATAAATAAGTCCAAATACACAACTAATTAATAAATAATTTATTGCATAACCAATATAATTTCCAGCCCACAGGAAAAAAGAAATCTAGCCTAAAAACGTTACAAAATCTCATTGATTTTCTTCATAAATTATTATTATTATTATTATTATTATTATTATTATTATTATTATTATTATTATTATTATTATTATTATTTTTTATTTTATTATTATTTTTTTTTTACACAAAATCTCATTGATTAGGTATCTTCAGATTCTTCACACAATATCACAACTTTCCTTTACACTCCCAACCTATAAATATTACCATATATTCTCATTAAGGAAATAAATCAAACTTGATTCAATCCCAATAATATTTCTCTATAAAAAAAACCCTTTAAACCCTTGTAATTTTTCATCATAAACCTCCACAAAAATAAAATAGTCTAAAAAAATCTCCAAAAACACAAGATGAAACTACAAGAATCAACATCAACCATGAAGAAAACATACCTTTACACTTTCTTGCCCACCAAGAAAGAAGAGATGGATGTGAGTAGTGCTAGTGGTGTAACGAATTCAAACCAAGTCCCCCGTATCCTCATCGAAATTCGAGACGATTCCACGGTTCCGACTATGTTAATGCCAAACCTCGACTCGAAAGACAATGTCGACAATAAGTACGACCCGTGGCGGATCCGGAAATGCTTGGACGTGAACGAGGTTACTACGGGTAAGATTCGGTTGACTCATGACGATGTTTTTGAACATGTGTTTCGTTACTCGAGTTTAGAGAATGCTAACAAAATTGTTACGGGTAATAAAGTCCATGTTTCTGTTTGTGATTTGACTGACGAAAATGCCCCTGTTGTGTACGGTCCGTACGATGAGAAGACTTTCATTGAAAAGGGTGCACAGGATGATTATGTTCTTGGGGTTAATATGGATTTGTTCAAGACTCGTGGGTTTAAGAAGGATGATAAAATTGGGATTTATTATGATCATAGGAATCAAGTTTTTTATCTTAAGGCTTTTCGTTGATTGATTGATCAATCGATCTGTTATTTGATTGGTCTCTCTATAGTTACTAAAGATTTCGGTTGACGGTTCTTTTTTTCGGAATTAATTATCTTGTTACATTGATAGTTTAACTTGACGTGGTACCATGACAATTAATTTAGTAGCGTTTTCGTGTATCACTAGTTTCGTTTTTAATTTTTTGGGTGTAAAACTTTAATTGCGTCGTATGTTTCTTTTAGTATGCATGATCGAATAATGTTGTAGTGCATAAACAACTTTCGTGTTATGATCAATAATATGTAGATTGTTTTCTTTAACTTTTTTCTTTTATTCTTGAATCTTGATTAGAATAGTTATTTGCATTGACTTATGTTATACAGTGCTTCGTATTGGAGTAATTACTGAAAGATTAATACAAATCAATTACGTTATTTGAGGACGTATATATAATCTTGGAGTAATGATGGATGTAGTATTTCGAAATTAATTGCCTGTGTTTACCGATTATATTGTTTAATTGCAGTCGCTGAATAATATATTTTCAGTTGTAAATTGTAATTGTCTATTAATTTGTGAGTATATTTTAGCAAAAAGTAAATATTTTATTTAAGACAATAACTATCTTTTTTTTAGGATGATATTTTAAATTTTTTATCATTTAGCAGGCTTTTAAAAATTGATAAAGAACAGCAAATTAACCTATGGACCTTAGTTGTTATTGTACATGGTGATGTTCATATAATACCTTATACCTTATGAATTTATGATTAGCTCTTTAGATCTTTTAAAAAAAAAAGGAAAAGAAATTATTTTAGGTGATTTTAGAGGTTTGACAATATCAATCAAAGCCCAAGGAAATAATTGATCAAAGGGTTAGCTACTTAAGGTAGTCTTCTGATCCACTTCAAGATTAATAATTGACTTCGATCTGATCCTTCGCAAATTCTTCTATGGACCCTGGTCCATCTAGATATAGGTGCATCACACCTATATTTTTGAACATTTAGTAAAAATATCTGAAAAATTGCAAATTTTGAACATTTAGTAAAAAAATCCGAACATCGTAAATTTGAACATTTAGTAAAAATATCTGAACAATCACAATGTAGCATGCCTATACTTTTGAACATTTAGTAAAAAAATCTGAACAATCGCAAATTTCATGTATTATATTAAATACAACACTATATAAAAAAAACAACAATGTTTTGAAAGAAGCTTGTCTGTCGTAATAATTCAATAGTTTTGTAATATAAACTGAACATTGTATATAAAATGAACATTTCTTTATAAAATATGAACATATAAAATTGATTGTATATGTTCATTTTTGTGACGTGTTCATATTTTTTTTTAACTATTACTAAATGTTCATTTTTTGTAAAGTGTTCAATTTTTTTTACTAAGTATTCAAATTTAATTTACCTTTCTGCACTATTTTCTTGTTTATCTTCCATGTCGGTTCGTCAATTTGCAGAGGAGAGAGAATGTGCAGTTTAGCAGTTGAAAGTGGAAATGAAAGAATTAAATTTTGAGTCATTTTTTTTTAAAAAAAATACGTCTTGTTGGGAGCGAAATTAAAAAAGAAAGAAAGTGAGAGTGTTTGGGCCTAGGTTTTTAGTGAGAAATGAAGTTTATAGCGTAAATGGTCTGTGGTCCAACTATTCTAAATGGATTAGGGTGCACAATAGACTTATTGTTGATCCACTTCAAGATTTTGGCGTACAATTGTACAAGCTAGGTTTCCGTTAAAATACCTAAAAGGTTCATATGTAGATTTTTTTCCAAGGAAACGTGCTAATGGGTGCACCATTCTAGGTTTCCTCAAATGTATATAATGTTATAACTTTCGCAATGACATGTGATTTTTTTATTTTTTTATTTTTAAGATACATGGAGGAGATTAGGTATGTTTTCTCACAACACCGTGACCTAAACTATCAAGGAGTAAAAATAAGAAAATTTACTATCTAAAAATAATGGATCTATATCTTGATGAGTCGAAGTAGAATAGCCGAGAGAGGAAACATAGTCTGCTGCCCGATTTCCTTCCCGATAGATATGTCTTGCCTGAAAGCTCAAAAAAGAATCCAAAATAGTCTTGAAATCATCCATAAGAAGCTGAAGTTTCCATGGACAGCTAAAATGACCCTGCAAAATTTTAATAACAGTAAGATTATCGCCTTCAGTAAAAATATCAGAAATATTAAATTCTCTAGCAAGAAGGAGGCCATTGCGAAGGCAAATAGCTTCTGCAAGGTAGGTCGGATAAGAGCCTAAATTATAAGTATGACTGGCCACATGATTACCTAGGTGGTGCCGAATAACCAAACCTGCAATAGCAGCATTCTGATTGGCAGAACCATCAATAATTTTACAAAAACCGAAAGGGGGTGGGGACCACGAGACTATGGGTGGGGGGTTAGGAGGAAGTGGCGGTGGGAGAGTCGTAGTAGGAAAGTGGATGGCGTCAAGAAGAGATCGAGACTCCGATTCCTTAAACACATAGAAAGCTCGAATAAAAATACTATGAATATTAGCAGAAGAGTTCTTAAAAATAACTGTGTTACAATGTTTTCAAATACTCCAAATAAATTAGCTATCTTAGGAAGGAGTCTAGGCAAATTGACTTTGAGAAAGAGAAATAAATCATGGATATGATTAATTTGAGGGATGCGACCAAGCCACTAAAGGACAGAAGAAGAAGACTAGATTTCCATAGAAAATGGGCAAGAGAGGAAAAGATGATCCTGGGATTCAGAATGATTAGAACAAAGAGCACAAAAGTAGGGACAACAATATTACGTGAAGATAAAATATGACGAGTAAGCAGACTTTTATGGAGGATTTGCCAAAGGAAAATCTGAATTTTAGGAGGAATGTCTAATTTCTAAATCCAACTAAATTCCCATTTAGAGGTAGGATGAACATGGGAATGATCAAGCCAAGTAGCAGATTTAATAGTGAATTGACCATTTTTAAAGAGACCCAACATGGTTCGTCAGGAACAGGGGAGGAAGGGAGGGGGGGATTCCTCAAATAATTTGAACTACATCATTGGGGAGAACAGTAAGAAGAAGAGGGATATCCCAAGAATTTTTATCAGTGATGAACATATCAACTATGACATCAATATCCGCAATTTGATCCGGATCCAAATTGAGAAGGGCAATAAGATTGGTGTGAGCACACCAAATATCTACCCAAAAAAAGAAAGAAAACCCATTACCTACTTTCCAGCGAAGTTTGTTGATTAAGAGAGAGTGGATTTGAAGATTTTTTTCCAAATCCAACTAACGGTCAACTAATGGACATTGACGGACACCAAATGGAAATGACATTTGGTGATACTATACTAAACCTCAGTGACATTTGGTGAATTTTGAAAACCTTGATGGTATTTGGTGAATTTTGCAATTGCTCAGTGGCATTTGGTGAAATAGCCGTTGAAAGTGAGGAGAGTAGACATAGGATCTTAGGATTAAGGTATTCGAAAGCATATTCTCTCTCTAAAATTTCTCTCACTCACATGTCAATTTTATTAGTACTATCATATTCTTTTTAAGGATTTTGAAATCTAAAATCGACATTATTGAATGTGTTTTTTTTTTTAATTATTAAATCATGTGGTTTACACTTATGTATATATCTTTTTCATATTTATGACATGCTTGATGATGGGCTAAGATGGTTAAATAGCCAACTTTATTATAAATGGTTGGGTGTTTGAATCCCTTAACCTTATATTTTTATATGAAGTAATGTCGGTTGCTTAGGTGATGTGGAATAACGTTTAAGGTCACATCTCAGTGGTACTAATGTTAATTTTTAAAATATTTACGAATTGTCATGTTATGTACCACCAAATACATAACATTCCTCTATTTTTACTTCCTCCCTTTTAATATATTAGTATAGATTTCTAAATGCATGCAAGGTTTGTCAATCACTTAGCTTAACAACACTTTACTCAATACAATTACATACATACACCAACCTTGTTACATCAAACAAAGAAAGAAAAATTGAGCAATTTTACATCAAACAAACAAATGAAGCTGGAGTAGCTAGAAGTTTACACTTGCTCAAGCATTTGACAATGCATCCTCTCTTCTACCACGCGATTTCCTTTGCTTCATACGCCCTTTGATACTCATTACAACCAACACAATCAACCGGATGATATTAAGTGCACTAAAAATTATCAACAACCCAAACCAAATCAACATAAGAACAACAGCAATATCGAGTTTTGAGTATCGACTTTCAGTTGAAAGCATTTGTCCAATGTAATTCAGTCCCAAAAACCCGATTGCACTATACATCAACTGTATCACAAGCCAAGCACAAAACTTGTTTCTTAAGGGTAAACCACTTACTAGTAACAATATGGTCGTTACAGCAGGCACGAATGAGCCCGAGTTTATTGAGAATTGGTCGGGTATATCTGGTCCATTTACCTTCAAGTAGATGATAGGCAATGCATTAATCGTGACTATAATAGCCGCGACAATTAATATTTGGCCTTCAATATCTTCTAAATGTTTAGTATTATCATCGTTGAAGGTGAAAAATCTTTTCCATGACTTTTTTGGGCTTGGTGGTCTAGAATGTGAGGTTGCATTGTTTTCTTGGGTGCTTAGTTTTGATGGTTGAGTGTTTGTGGTTGGTTTTCGAACGTTGGATCGAAGGAGAAGGTTGAGTAGCTCGAGTCCTTTGAAGTCTTTAGGAGAGTTTTCGACCAAGTCTAAGGCTGTAAGACCATTGTTGTTCACTGCATTATGTTCAATACTTGTTTCTAACAAGTATTTTGTAACCTAAAAAAGGAAATAGAAGAATAAGTTTTTTTATTCGAAATATAATTAATAATATATTAATTATAGGTAATACGAAAGTACTTGTTATTCAAATGTATGTTTTTACGCATAGTCGTATATAGTTGTATAGTTGACCCTTAATCTCTAATCATGCCGATTACAACGAATTCAAGTTAATTTTTTTCAAGATAATGTTCAATTAAATTAAACAACAAATATTTTAGGTTTAATAAGACCACATAAGATAAGGTAATAATTTTGGTGTTGAGAGAGCCATAAGGGCGGGTAATGATGAGAATCGATCTTAAAATCACTTGGAATCAGGAGGGAAATCAAATAAAGTCTAGTAAGACGAATAAAAGATAGTTCCCCCCATAAAAAATAAAAATAACGAATAAAAGATAAGATAAGATAAGATAAATTAAAGACTAATAATAAGATAGAAAAGTTAAGGGCTAATAAGATTGATAAAATAATTGAAATAAATGAGAATAACTTTATCTTATATCAAAGCAATTTATGGACACGACACCTTCCCAACTCTATCCTAAAATTCCATAAAATGGTGCAATTTGGTCTTCAATTCAACTATTCAAGTAGGAAAAGATTTATGTTGACTTTTATAGAAGATGACGTGGCTGAGCGTGTGAGCTAGACATTTGGTGGAAGATCGAATGGAATGGAATGAAGTGTTTTAGATATATTTCTAGTTTCGTATAAATTAATCTTAATTCCATATATAACAAAATAACTTTGTATAATTAAAAGATAATTACGTGAATAATGTAAGAGTTTAGATGGTATAAGCATTAATGTACAAATAAGGTGTATAAAAGACAATTAACTATATATAAAAATAGTTTTAAACATAAAACATAAGTTAAAAGGACAAAAAGAGTACCTCCAAATTCTTGTGCAAAGCAGCCAAATGCAAGACCGTATTACCATCATCATTTCTTGCATTCAACAAGTTGTTACAATCACTTTGACCTCTAAACATCTCAACCAACACCTTTAAAGCATCCAAATTATCATACTTCACACACAAGTGCAAAATAGTAGCTTCTCCATCCACCCTTGACCGAGTCGACTCGGGACACACCCGAGCCAACTCGGTCAACACCTCAACCTTGACCCCTTTCATTATAGCCATGTGAAGGGGCAACTTCCCATCCTTGCTACGAGCAAGGCAAGAACTCGGTCCCACACGTAAAAGCTCGCGGACGATCTCCACGTCTCCCTTGGCGGAAGAGACGTGGAGGGGCAAGTGGCCGAGCGAGTCAGACTCGTTGGCAAGCTGGGGGTTGTGGCTGAGTACAGCCCGTACAAACTCGAGGCGCCCTCGTAAGGTTGCAACGTGTAAAGGGGTGTCTAGGAAGAAAGTTGTTGAGATTCTATCAAGTATTAAGGGATCTTCTTGGATTAATGCTTTCAAATTTGGCACATTTCCTTCAAAAGCAGCTTCATACAACCTTTTCTCCATTTCCATTTTTTTTCCCTCTCTCTTCTATTTTACTGTTTTAGTTGCAAGTTGTACATTTTTGTTAGTTCATAGAATAAGTTTTATAGTAGCTTTGGTACAAAGTATAAGAAAGTCAAGATAACAAGGAAAGTTTAGGCTAGTTGGATAGTTTGACTATGAAAATTGGACTTGGTCAAATAATGTAGGAAACAATTAGCTAATAATGGAAAGAAGATAACTATGGATAAAATGCGTGTTGTTTATGTGTTTGGTGTATACGCTAAATTATGATTTAGGTAACCACAAGAAATAAGAGGGGCTTCTCTTGCATGATGCTTAAGGAATAATGAATCACCATTACTTTATTCTTAATGATCTTCGGGATTTGATCCATATCGGAAAGAAAATTCTCAGCCTATAGGGGCTTGATCCTTAACATAGTCAAACTTGACAGACATTTTAATGCGTGAATTTGACCATTACATTAATATCTAACTAAAAATGTTCAATGCGATACTAATTGATTTTCATACCTTACTCAAAAATTACAATCAAATTTAATATATAAATAGGAAAATAAAATCAAACTGTGTCAATTTTTACAAAAAATCTTGTGTGGACTTGTCCACATTAATTATTAATATGAACCAAAAGCCCACACGTGCCAAGCCTGCAACTTCAGTCTACAACTACATACTCACGCACTCCCTCACTCTTCACCACCCCCAAACTCAAACCATCGCAATTCGCAGCAGCCAACCACCAACCCTCCGAACCACCTCCTAACTCACACCACCACAGCCAACCACCAACCCACCGAACTCACCGCACCCACCAACCACCGAACTACCTCCAAACTCACACTAACTCGAAGGACTCACATCACTACAGCCAACCACCTCTAAACTCACACCATTGCGGCCAACAACCTCCAAATTAACACCATCGCAGCCAACCACCCCGCAAATCGCACAAATTCGATTGCAGTAGTTTTGATTTGGAATGAGTAGCCGATTTGGTGGTGCGATGGTGAAGCAATCGAAATCAATCAGCATCCAAGCAGTAGTTTCAATAATTACCATTAATTTAACATAGTCCTTAATTTTGACACTATACAATATTGAAAACGAAGTGACCTTTTTTAACCAAACAAAGACCTTATAAATAATACAGTGACTTTATTTTAACAATAGTGACCTATGATAATATAGTGACATTTCATCGTAAACCTTTTCAATATATATTTAACCTCTAATATTAATATAGTTACCTTTATAAAGATAAGTTTAAAATAACATTCGGCTCAGCTTCAAGCTCTTTACGTTCATAACCAGTAGCAATGGGCATTGCATCTTCAACCTCACTCTGAGCCTTTGAAACTTCTACACAACCCAAAACAATCCAATCAAATAAAAAAAATTCAAAAAAACAACAATAGATCTAAATCAAAACCCTAGAAAATGGGGGAAAATTACCGACATCGGCGGAGAAATGGTGGCGAGAGAGAAGAAAAGACGAAGAGCGAACAGCGGAGGAAGCAACAAGAAGATGATGAGCGAGAGAAGAAAATGAAGGTCTAACAGTGGCGGAAGAGGAAGAAGAAGAAAGAATTTTGAGATTAGAGAAAACAAGCCTTCTCCACATGATTGATTGAATTGTGTTCTAATGTTGAAGAAGATGAATGAATCGATCAATTGATCTGGAAATTGTGATTTGGGGAAAAATTGATGAGTTTCTCCCTCTTACGTGGGTGAGTGCCCTTTTTGTTTGGACGAAAATGAGGAAAGAGAATGAGTGAGAGGAGGAAGACTGGAAGAGGGCGGCTGTGTTCCTTGTAAGAAGCTTGGTAGGCACGTGAGAAACTTGGTCCACAATAAATTTATTGTGGACCAGGTTTATTTAAGAATAAGTACAATTTTTATTGAATAGAGGTTTATACAAGTACATAGAGAATGGCACAATGATAAAGCATGTGAACTTGGTGTTGAGATCATTTTAGGGAAAAAAAACACATATTTTGATATGTGCTATAGCTTGGAAGATACTTTGCATATGTTCGAACGAAGATTATGCATATATGTAGGTATGTAGATGTAGATCTCCCACCAAAAACGATGTAGCATTTGTAATACCATCAATTATTTGTAATGCTGTGAAATCAATTATATTTTAATGTAAACCATTAAATTCTACTTTGTAATAGATATAAATATATAGAGTATACACATTGTTTCGGATGAAAATAATAGGACCTTCGGACATGTCTTTTCTTGTGGGCGGAAGACTGATCTCGGTCCAAGTAATGATTGGGCCAAGGGTTTCCTGCATAGCAAACACACGTAAACTGATCTCGGGGGTTGTGCCGAGGAAGGCCCCTCCGATGCCGAAGTCAATACAGTGTTGAGAGAGAGAGCTATGCAAGAGTATTAATTGCTTGAGGCTTGAATTGAATGAATGTAGAGAGAGAAGATTGAAGGTTTTTATACCTTTGCTCAATAGATAGATGGACCTTAAATCAAGTGGGCTTGCCATGTTGACTGGGTCTTGACTGACTTGACAATTATTTGAAGACTTGAACCTTGCTTTGGGCTTTGTAATTAAAACATTTGTGGACCGGCCCAATTGGAGTGAATCAGACCCAAACACACATAATACAATTACACTACAACATCGTCCACATAATCAATCAATACATAAACCATGCTATTTTAACATAGGAAACTTTGACTAGTTTTACACCAGATCAAAGAAATACAAATAAATTTGAGCATAAATTACGTACTTTTAATATGTAATAACCCTAACATTAAGCATTATTTGCCATAGATTTCTCTCTTCTAAGGCGCAACCTTCTACGCTTCATACACATAATGATGCTCTTCACTATCCACACGATCAAACGAATGACATTTAGTGCACTTACTAACATAAGCAACCCGAACCAAATCGACACGAAAATAAATACAAAATTCACAGTTGAGTATCGACTTTCATTAGAGATCATCTCTCCAAGGTAATTCAACCCCAAAAATCCAATTGCAGTGTACAAACATTGTATCACAAGCCAAGCACAAAGCTTATTGCTTAAGGGAAAACCGGCTACTATTAGCAACATTATTGTTACAGCTGGTACAAATGAAGCCGAGTTGACCACGTATTGATCGGTTAAATCCGGTCCATTTACCCTCATGTAGATGATAGGCAATGCATTTATCGCGGCTATTATAGCCGCGGTAATAAATATTTCACCTCTCATATCTTGTAACTGGTTATGATTATTGAAGGTGAAAAAAAATTTCCAGGACTTTTTAGGCCTTGGTTGCCTAGGATGTGTTGTTGGTGGTTGGGTTATCGAGGCTGAGAGAGATAAATGAGTGTTGGTTGATCGTTGAATAGCGTTCGATTGTAGAAGGAAGTTGAGTAGCTCAAGTCCTTTCAAGTCTTTAGGTGAATTTTCAACCAAATCTAAGGCTGTAAGACCATTGTTGTTCATTGCATTTGGTTCAATGCCTGGTATTGCTAGCAAGTATTTTGTAATCTGAATTAAGCAAAGAAATAATAATCATGACTGCATGCTTAACATGGGTAAAACTTGTAAAAGATCTCACAAGAGCTACAAAACTTCATATTCTCTTAAATTTCTATATAATAGGCCATGACGACCTTGCATTCATAGTCGAACTATGGTTATGACTATTAAATTATATTATTGAACTGTAATAGAGCTTGTAAAACTATTTATGATATGGATACAAGTCAAATAATTAATTTAGAAATGTAATTCACATGGTAACTCACTACAAAATTTGAAATTTTCATGATAAAAGGTCACTTGGCAGTCTGGTCAACGAAATCAATTTGTAAGATTTGTTCCAATTTTGTACTTTATCAACATCCATAATTTAAGATCCACAAGCATCTATCTTCATATATTTTGATTAAGTAGAAGAGATTGAATGATTGATGGTAATGGATAATAAAGTTGAAATAAAATAATATTGGAAAAATTAAGACAGTTTTCTTTAAAAAGACTAGATTATTATTATTATTAAAAAAAACCAAGGATTTAAGGGAACAGAAATACCTCCAAATGCCTTTGAAGAGCAGCTAAATGCAAGATAGTATTGCCATCTTCATTTCTTACATTCAATAAGTTGTTACCATCATTTTCACCATTCAACACCTCCAATATTACTTGAATAGCATCCAGGTTTTCATACTTAACGCACAAGTGCAAAACAGTATCTCCTCTATCCACTCTTGATTGCATTGACTCAGGACATGCTTGAGCCAACTCCCTTACCACTTCAACTCGAACCCCTTTACTTATTGCCAAGTGAAGGGGCAACTTCCCATCCTTGCTACGAGCCAGGCAAGAACTCAGACTTACGCGTACCAGCTCATGGATGATCTCTATATGTCCTTTGGTGGAAGCGACGTGGAGGGGCAAGTGGCCGAGCAAGTCACACTCGGTGGCAAGCCTTGGGTTGGAACTAAGTACCGCCCTTGCAAACTCGAGGTGTCCACGTAGGATTGCAATGTGTAGAGGAGTATCTTGATAGAATGTTGAAGAGATTCTATCAAGAATTAAAGGGTCTTCTTGGATTATTGCTTTCAAGCTTGAAACATTTCCTTCAAGAGCAGCTTCATACAACCTCTTCTCCATTTCCATCACTTTTTCTCTCTGAATAAAGTTGGTTTTTTCTTACTTGTATATGGAACAAATTTTTATAGTAATATGGATTGGTTTGACTTTATAATATGGACTTGGTCTAATAACGTAGGAAACAAATCATAAGATATATTCTTAATCCAACTCATGTTTGGTGCATATGCTAACCAACGATTGATGTACAATGAGCATGCTTAATGAATGCCAGCCTAATCATGGTCAACTTTTGAAATTATACAAACCATTGTTTATTCACTGGACAGCCTTCAAAACTAGGATAGAGTTGCAGGGAATTGATCTATGACATTAAGTCTCAACAAAACAATTACTCTTTCCGATCTTAAATGTTTGCCCCATAAACCAAAAATGGTTGTCCTTAAAAGAGTGTCACTTTCTTATTTTTGATAGTGAGGACCACACTTTTTACTCTCACATAAAATACGTTCCACATCATCACTTTTGCCTCTTATTAACTCCACTAAATAAAAAGTCAACACTGTTAAAAAAAGTCAGCAAAGTAATAAATGTGAGAATATAGGATTAATATTCTAGATATTATGTTATAAAAGGATATATTTTGTAAATATTGTGTAAATACACCATATTCACAAAATATATCCTTCTATAATAGAATATCTAGAATATTGATCCTATATTCTATCAAAATGTATAAAGGTAAACAATCCATCTTGTGTGTGGCCGGTGACACCGTGTGGCCACTTATAAAATAACAAAATAACCCCTATAACATACATCAAGTAACCCTATAATACTGACCGAGTAACCCTATAATACTGACCGAGTAACACTTATACCATTGATCGAATAACCCTATAACGCTGACGAAGTAACCCCTTTAACACTGACCAATTAACCCCTATTACACTAACGAAGTAACCCCTATCACATAAGAACTTGTGAAAGGTAAAATCTTTAGGGACGAAGGGAGTAATAGTTCACGATCGAGCTTAAGAGTATTAGACACCATTAAATTTTTCACTTTTTAAAGTTTACATGTTAATACAAGAACTATCTTGTGTGTGCTAGTGTACTATCTTTAACAACCTTAGCTTAGATGATGTTGACATGCGAAAATACAAGACTACTTTCCAAAGTAATAAAAAAAAAAAAAAAAAAAAAAAAAAAAGAGAGAAAACCTGTTGGAAACCAGATGGTTAGACTATGAATGGAGCAACTCCAATTTAATTATAATTCCAAGTCCGTGTAAAACGGAGAGATAAGGGATTTGAGAAACCAGCTTGATGCATTGAATGAGCATATTACAAAACTGTCAAGGTTATATGACAGTCTCTCTTTCCTATATACATTCCCGTATATGATGTTTTTCCGGTCATGTATCAGCCTTTCTAAACCTATTCTTTTGTATAATAAGCAAATGGCAAATGTAGTATGTAATTTTCTCTCTCAAAACTTTTCTTAATGTACAAGTATACAAGCTGCCTTTCCAGCGCATATTGCAGCGCAACAGATTACAATAGTGTTTCAAGACCGATACAATCCCACGACGAGAAGCATACATTTCAGCTAGTCTCTTGATTGTTGCACCAGCTCGAGCCACTGCACCACAACCAGGTTTTAGTATAGGATACATAGAGTAAGAGGCTAAGGGCTGGACAAATTTTAGTTTAAGTTCAAAGAGAGTACCTGTCTCAATAGATCAGCTAGTGTTCTGGGGAGCATTTCAATGTTTCTCAACACAATGTAGTATGGGAACGGAAAAGAGTCTAGATATGGAACAGCTTTCTGAAGTAACCCATTCTTGAAAATATAATCCTTGATTTAAATAAATAAAAATAAAATAATTAGGATCAGATAACATTTATAAACCCATTATGCATAGGCCTAAGGATTTTCAGTAATCCATATATCCTCAAATTTGAATTAATTTTTTAGATGCTAGCTGCATGACTAAATGCAGCGAGTTGCATAAGGGGAAAATACCTTGCAGTCGACTATAGATTCTTGAGCACTATCCAAAACTATAAATGCCACCAGACAGTTTCTCTGCAACAGGTCTCTCATGAACCTCTTCACCTTTTCCTTGTTGTCATGAAACCGACCATCAGCAATGATCAAAACAAGCTGTTGCAATGGGTTCTGTCCAGAAGGCAGTCTTGCATTAGCCACAGCCTGTTCTAACATATTGTTCAGATATTTAAGGAGTTCAACCATAGGCTCCTCTCTTAAAGTATTCTCTTGATTAAATGTCAGGCTTGAGATCATCTGTTTGAATCAAAGTTCACAAAAAAGGGGAAGATTAAATTTCGGGTTGAAGATAGTTTTTGGAAAGATAGAGAAACATATAGTATTGAACTGACCTTCATTCCAGCTTCCCCAGTTAAGGGCTGATCAAAGTCATGTAGTAACCTGATGTTTCCTTCCTTTCCAAAGCTTGTAACAGCTAATTTCCCCACCTCAAGCTGAGACAAGGCACGACACACAGTGACCAAAGCTTCAATGGCAAAATCACCACAGCAATTTTCAGACATACTACGAGAATCATCCACCACGATCACAACTTGGTAATCACGTTTATTGGGTTTGGTACGCCTCAACCATATCTTATCTTTCCGGTAGTGGCTAGCAATATATGGAATTACCTGCAGTTCAACAGGTAAGAATATGATGAATTTTGAATGAAAATAACATGAAAAAGACAAGGAAAAGATTTGAAGTTTCAATTGCTTACTTTCTTCATATTGATCCTTTTGCCAGTCCTGTAATCCCCTTGAAGCTTGCTAGCCAGTGTAGGTTCCATGACTAGACGTAGCTGCTCGGCCAACTCCTGAGACAGCCTCATTGTGCGGAGCTCGTACTTTCTCCAAAGAGCACCAGCATTCATATTCATCTCACCAAGTTGCTGAGCAAGATTCTGCACTTTCCCTGGTTCATCACCACTAGTTGAAAGTTCACTTAGCTGGTTCCTGTCCTGGGTCATGTAAGACTTTCTTACTGAAACTAAACTCTCCACCGATTTTCCTGAACTGCCATCGATCTTTCTCTTAGGTTCTTGAACATCTTCTACAGGCAACTCATCATGTAAATCAGATATATTGATCTTTTCGTCAACCCTGCTTGTAGAAATTGGACGACTGTGGATGGCCTCAGTATTAGAATCATCATCACGGAGCTCGTCAGGTTCATTCTCCTGAGCAGTGCACCCATCTCCTTCAGGCTTATCATGGCCAATATTATGCTCCATCTGATCAGGCATTGCAGACCCTAGTGCCTGAGCAGTTCCCTGATCAAATTCAGATGTAAACCCAAATTCATCCACTTCCTGATCATCCATTTCGTCAACTGTCTCCTCATCTCTTTGTGGAACATCAGCAGAAACCTTCACTCTATCTTTCCAGTCTTGAAGAGCATCCCCAATATTGCGCAGTGGGTTTGGCTGATTTTTCTGGAAGGATGACTGATCTTGCTGTGGCATGGACTGTGGTTGATCATTGGATAGTTTACCCTTTGATGAGTTTCCAAACAGCATTTCCACCTGGTTGGAGTTTTCTGATGAGGCAAGGTCATTTTGAATATCAGTGCTCATAGAGCACTGCATTTCAGGTGCTGTACTTATAGATTCTGCCTTTTGCATTTCACTCATGGTCTGTGACATGGGCTGTGTGTTAGAAATATGATCGCTTAATAAGTCTGAATTTCCCTGCTCACTGATGTCTTTATTAGGTGCTGTCAGATCCATGTTGCCATCCTTGTCATCTTTGTTCTGTGAATCATCTTCAGCTTCTTCACTTAACATGTTAGACTCTGCCTTAGCTACAGTATCATCTTCAGGGTCAGTGTTATCCCCAGGGTCTCCATCATCCATATCATTGTCCCCCACATCAGGTTTATCTTCTTCCATAGTATTGTCCTGGTCTACTTCCATGTTCTCAGTCTCATCAACAGAAGTTTGATTTGGCTCATGGAGATCAATGTCAGTGGTGTCAGCATTAGCCTCTTCTTGGTCGACATTCATTGAATCTGGATTATCTATGTCATCAGTGCCATCTTTACTAGTATCCGCATTATCATTTTCATCAGTTGCATCATTGTCTCCTTCTGTGGGTTCATCTGTTGTAGCAGCAGTATCATCTTTAGCTCTTAGCTCCCGGTTATCAAGATCTCTGTCTTTCACTGAAGGTCCTGGCTCATGTTTCTCATTTGTATTATCAAGATTTTGATCTTCTTCCTTGTCACAAAGCTTTTCATCTACTACTTCACTATCGTCCCCAGTATTCCCCATGGCAGTATCTAACTGCTCATCCTCATCTTCTCCATTGTCATCATCATTATCCTCATCGCCAGTATCCTCACTCAAATTGAAGTCAGGAGCATCAAAATCATTCTTCATCTCAATTCCTTCAACTTTATCGTTTGGTAATTCATTTAATGCATCTGGCTCTTCTTTCTGCAAAAATAAATTGAACAATATAGAGATGAAGAAATAGGGAAATTATAATAAGTTCCACAGATAAAATAAGCACAAATGGGTTAACAGCTATCAAAGCACAACACACCTCTCCAGAGGCCCCAAGGAGCTGATCTTCATCAGTTATTTCATTGCTCACATCTTTCACTCCTCCTGTTCCTTCTCCCATGCCAGTCCCACAAGCATCTTGAGTCTTGTCACCAAGGGTATCATCAACTACGTCTTCAGTGCGTACACCATAGCCTTCAGAAAACAAGGAAGCAAATATCTCTGCAAGCCTATGAGTCAAAACGGATATCTGCAAATGCAGTTCAAGTCAGTCGGTAATTCGGATGTTTGACCAACACACATCACTACCAATAGGATGAAAAACAAGAATTAGAGACTTTAGAGTAGCTAACCATCTCGTGGACAGCCAAAAAATCAAGCAAAAGACCATCACTAAAAGTCAATATCAGAACCAGCAATTCCTTAAGATGTTCAAATTGCAGACCAGTTTCAGAAGATAAATCTGAAATACTTGGTATTTTTCCCTACAGAAAAAATAAGATTAGAATATGATTAATTTAACAATATTATCATTCCTAAAATACTAGAATTACAAAGCTTACAGTGTAAGAAATTAATTTATCAAGACTCTGACTAATAAGATCCAGCCGGAAGTTTGCTACAAAAGAATCAAACAAAGGTTTCCACGATGTGATCTTCATCAATAAATCTTCATCAGATGCATCCCTGTCACTCCAGGATCCTAGTTCTTGAAGTGCACTGCCAATATGTCTAAACATATCACTGAGTGATGCATTTATTTCAGCTTCCAGACCAGTAAG